ACAGAATGAGGATAATACACATATTCTGGATGAAAGGCACACTTTATGGTGCATTTTACACGGGTACATGTGAAACTTACTAAGTGTAGAATATAAACGTCTTAACACAATAACTAAGAAAATGCCATGAAGGCTATGTTGACCAGTTTGATGAAAATATTTCAAATTGTATATAAAACCAGCACATTGTACCCCATGACTGCATTAATGTACACAGCAATAATTTAATAAAAAACTTTGATCTTAAAAGTACAAAACAAACTTTGTAACCAAAATGTGTATGCCCCTATAATATTCTGAAAAAAATTTTTAAGTACACAAATTTTTAAGAAGTGATTGTATAAGTAAAGTCTCACAAGAATGGAGAAGCAAGAATCCAATGTACTCAATTCTAATAGGAAACCAGTTGACGATCTAATTCATACCCTCCTTTCATAGGAGAAAAACTCAAATCAATTCAAGAAGTGGGGGGCAGAGGAATGAGGGAGCAGGGGGACTGGAGGAGGAGGGGAATGGGGGTCACGGTGTCTGGCGCACATCTTGGGGGCGGGACACCATTATAAGACAGACTTTACCTGAAAAATGCAATCGATGTAAACTAATTCTTTGCACCCTCAATGAGCTTCAAACAATTTTTAAAAAGTGATTGTTTATTGTTTCATTCATATGTAGGACAATTTCAAACTCCTATGTATTTAAATACCTTTTTAACCAGACATGAAATCACAAAAACTTTAACACATGGACTTTTCCTCGTATATAATTTCAGATTTATCAAAGTAAACCTACATAACAGAAGTTTTAGAAAAGAAAAGCAACTGTAAAGTGCATTGCTATCACGGGTCATTGTCTTCATCACCTTCAACATGAATCGTTTTGTGTTAATGTCACTCTCCCTGCAGTGCTGGCGTTGGAAGGACGGGAGTTTTTATAGCTCTGGACCACTTAACGCAGCATATAAATGACCATGACTTTGTGGATATATATGGACTAGTAGCTGAGCTGAGGAGCGAGAGAATGTGCATGGTGCAGAATCTGGTAAGACCGCTAACCCTGTACTCACTTGACGTTAGCCCTAGAAGGTCCACACGGGCAATTTAGGGGCAGCAGCCTGGTGAGACATAGGCTCGGAGCTGTATTTGCAAAGAGGGACCTGTCTTTTCCTATGCTATAATATTTGGGGAGGAGAGCTGACACATGTCATGGAAGCACCAAAACCCACCTGCCCTGGTCACCCTTCAGTGCTGGCACTGGCTGCTCATCTCAAATTTTGTATGGTGATAGGCTTGGAGAAAATAATTAATAAAATCTATTCATCTTTAACAACTTTGGGAACTTGAAAATACATTTAAATCAATTCCTTTTGCAAACATGCTAAAAGGTACACTTGGAAAAACAGGTTAAAACACTGACTGTATGAGGTTTAAACAGTTTAAAACACTGACTGTATGTGGTTTAAACAGTTTAAAATACTGACTGTATGAAAATATTTAATAAAATCTATTCATCTTTAACAACTTTGGGAACTTGAAAATCAATTTAAATCAATTTCTTTTGCAAACACACTAAAAGTTATACTTGGAAAAGCAGTTTAAAACACTGTATGAGGTTTAAACAGTTTAAAACACTGACTGTGTCAGGCTTAAACAGTTTAAAACACTGACTATGTGAGCTTTAAACAGTTTAAAACACTGACTGTGTGAGGTTTAAACAGTTTAAAACACTGACTGTGTGAGGTTCTGTGAATTTTACTCATTCATACTCATCCCTGTTGATATCAGGGCTAATAATGATTATGTGGCATGTTATCAACTAAATAACTAAGAGCTTTTCATTTGTTGTTTTGGTTGGTAGTAAAAAAATATGTCTGAAATATATGGTTATTTTTTTTAAATCACACAGTATGATAGTGATGAGAGTAAAAGCCCTCTACTGCAGCAGTTCTCAATCTGTGGGTTGCAAGCCACAGGAACTGTATGAATGGGCTGCGGAGTTAGGAAGGTTGAGAACCGCTGCTCTATCTAGTGGTTTCCAGGTACTATACTAGATCTTTTATGTGTATTATCTTGTTTAATCCTGATTTAATCCTTTATTTGGGAAGGAAGGCCAATGCATCAATCAGTAGACTGGGTATTATTGGCTCTGCTTCACAAATAGAGAACCAGATGTTTTAAGAAGTTAAGTGATATTTCAAGGTGATATTACTAGCAAGTGTCAGAGCCAATATTCAAACCCTAGTTTAACCATAATATATGAGAGGTTCTTATCTGTAGCTTTGAATTGGTGCTTGTGTTCTATATATGTACAAATACACATCGTTTTGCAGTAAATGCATACATCTGTTGCAACAATATTTTCCAAATTATATCCAAGAAAACAAAAGCAGCATCAAGGTTATTAAAGGTATGAGAAAATGAGGTTCTCTGCTGATGTAAGCCTGAGAAAGAAATTAAACTGGTCTTTAACCACAGAATTTCTTAGAGCCTTTATGTTAATGTGCATTGACAAGTGGTGGGCAACTTGTCCCAAACTTATGTGATTGGGACTGTTTCAACCATTTTGACTCCAAACCTATAATACCATGTTTGGGAACATTAATGTATTCCAAACTTTTGGACTTAATACCCTTTTCAGGAAAAAGTTTGAAAGTCAACTCTAATACAGATGTATTCTATGTACACACACATATGTATAATGTATGTGTGTGTATGCATATGTGTATACACACATATACAGTGAGGTAGTTTGTATAAGTACATAAATTATGAAACATAAGCAAATTAAGAAAATTATGAAACATAAGCAAATTAAGAAAATTATGAAACATAAGCAAATTAAGAAAATTATGAAACATAAGCAAATTAAGAAATTGAAACATGAGTTAAAAATCAAATAATCAATACTCTGAAACCTTGCTAATTTTTATGACTTCATATACCCTTAGGTATTTTCAAAAGAGAAAATATACACATAGGCTAAAATACTTTCAGTTTGATAATTTGTTTTAAGTACAGATTTTAAACTAATTATGATTTTTTTAAAAAAGAGATCTCTGTTTTTTGTCAGATCTGATTACACTGTTGTTATTTTTACCTCCTAGTATGGAGGAGGTACAAGTTTATTCCAGGAGTAGGAAGAATGTCACCTCTGCCAGTTTCTTGTCATTCATTTGGGCTGGCAGGTGTCTTTGCAGGAATCATTTTCACCCTCTTTAATTCTGTGAAGATGGGGTGGGTAAAACTAAATAATGTAATCCATACACATTCCTTCACATGCTAAAAGGGAAAAATGGGTTATCAGTTTTCCCTGAGGATACTTCAGAAGTGGACTATGCCATGTGATCAGGACCGCCTTCCTGGGTAGACATCCCATGTAGTATCACAGATTCTCATGGCTCAAAAAGGCCCTGCAGTTGGCCTAATGTTTGCTGTTATTGTCTTAAAACTCTTCATAATTAAATTTTGAAGAAGGACTTTCACAGGTCCCAGCAGGCCCTACAAATTATGTAACTGGTCCCAAGCCAAGGTCCTTGGCCTTCTCATGTGGGTTCCAACATTGATCCAACTATTAACCATTATTAAGATTCATTTTCCTTCTTATGGTGACTTGAAAATAAAGGTAAGTTAAAAGCTAACATTTTCCTCCCGTGCTCCTAGGCGTCCCCAGACACACGGGGGATCAGTACTCTCTACTTGGCTCTCTTGGCTAAGACACAGAGTAGAACTGACTGTTTCCTTCTAGTCAAGAGTCAATTTTCAACTAATAAAAGTTCCATGCTCTAGAAAAAAATTCCACGCTTCGAAACTTCGTAGAACTCCACATTATAAAGAATGTGTTCAAGAACGTTTGTTAACTATTTTACCCAATTTATTACTAAATGTATGTTATAAACTTCACACCTTATGCCTGTTTAGTAGCCAGAGTCGAATGTCTCAGCTTAGGTAAAGGAAAGGAAACGTCAAGGTTTTTGAAGTTAGAGAACTCAGCTCATGGCTGGCTCTTTTATAATTAGCCTGTCTGAGCTATTTCTCTTTTGTACCATAGCTGTGTAACACTAAATAAGTTTTTTTCCTTTTTCCTTTTTTTTTAAAAGTATTAAGTAAGTATTAAGTATTAAGAAAAAAAGTACCTAGATGACCAACAGAGTGTCCAGCAGGCAGTAAGTGTCCAGCCAGATTTGGAGGGATTCCCTCTTTGCTGAAGAGCGGGCGTTTTGAAATTTGTTTTCACTTGTCTCAGCCCCCACAAAATCAACCCTGTTAATATCTTTCCCCCGAAATGAAAATCAGGAAAATAATCACCCCTTGGCTCTAATTTTCACAAGCCAGCATTATCTTGCACAAGAGTGATTTCTATTACACTCAGGAGTAATCTCAGCTTCTATGAAGAAAGCTCAGGTCTCAGCAAATACTACAGCAGCCATGGGCAGGGAGGGGTAGGGAGGCAGGAGGGGTAGGGAGGCAGGAGCCTCAGCAACTCCCGCTACTAACGGCATCCGATCTGTGGCCCATACCCAGGAAAGATCTTCGACCCCTTTCCCTCAAAAAACAGAAAATCAAGCTGGGGGAGCGGGAAGGTGTGGGTGGGTAAAGTCACACCTGTTAGGCGCAGTGCGTACTATGGGGGTAAAGGGTACACTTGTAACTTTGACTCTATACAAAAACAAGTACGTAAACAAAACATGTACTCCTAATATTCCGAAATTAAAAAAACAATCCATTAGAGCTTCAGGACATTTGAAAGGTCTTTCTCTCTAAGAGAATGCTCTGGAGTTAAAAAAAAAAAAAAATCCTGAGATACTATTGGTGCCTCAAATAAGAGTTAATCTGCATTAGTCCTTTTCTGATCGAGAGTCTCCTGAAAATTTAGGAGTGTGAACTTCATATTGTGGAAGAGAAAAAGCTAGCATGCAGTGGCACCTCCATAGCTGACCGATTCCCTACATTAACCACTTCCTTAAGTTGACCTAATTTTGAAGACCCGACACATGTTATGTATATGTATCAGTAGCGTGGGTCTAGTTCTTTATGTTGACCACCTCCCTCTGTTTACCAGTTTGTTACGGTTCCTGCTATGGTCAACTTAATAGAGTTTCTACTGTTTTGGGGGGGTGTCACGTTTTTTGCCAGGCATTTTATTTAAGTCCTTTAAATCATACAATACAGATTTTACTATCCCTTATATGAGGAAATTGAGAGCATCAGGCAAAGTTTGATTCTTAAGGCAACTCGGCTAACTAAGGTAAAGACGGAGAATGAACTTTTTCACCACACTACACGCTTCTTTGGCATAACACACAGTGGCAAAGGGACCGTGGAGCCTGGAGGACCATTGCTGGAGCTCAGCCTGCCTTGCGGGCAAAGGTCACACATGTCATTCTTTCCAGTGGAGAAGATGAGATCGGGACAGTCAGGAGCTTCACATGTCAAATGTGACCTCAAATTCAAATGCATTTTAAAAACATACCAGAACTCACAAATTTAAATTATTTTCAAAGAAATTATGTTGTGTCAATGTATTGCTGCAAAAAATTTTGTCACGTACGTTTGAATGTACTCTTTTGGAATTACATTGACAAGGAATTTACTAAGAATTTTAATAGAATCTTTACTACTTTATAACAACACTTCATCTTATACCAAAATCAAATTCTGTAAAACTGATCATGTGCCTCACTTCCTTACAACCTGACCCCCAAAGGCTCTAGGATGTTCTCCACATTACATCTGCCCTAAAATGGTAAATACTGGCTGGCTGTGGGAATTAACTAAGTCAACAAACATTGATTACTCGGCTAGTATGTGTCAGGCACCATTACAGGTGATGGGACTGTGGCAGAGAGCAGGACAGAGTCTGCACTCATAGAACTGACATTTCAGCAATGAAACCGTCTTATAATCCACAAAGAAATATATATTCCTACTAATGACCAGCCATTTCTGAAGATAATTTCAACAGAGGAGTTCTGAAAAAAGGTTGTAAGGTACAATACCAATAGGTATGAATATAATCTCCAAAGAGGACCAGTTTTGAGGAGGTTCTGTCTAAATTTACATATATGTCTGAAACATTTGGTGGTTTTCCTTTCAAGCCAGGTATGGTGGGGGGTGGGCTCTGTACAAATAAGGGTGACCTAAAATATACATGTTTTAGCCTTAACTACTGGTATGTACAAACTTAGAAATGCTAAGAGGTTATTGAATTATGTTGAATAAATTTAAAGAATTCAGATGTTACACAATTTAACCCAAACATTCAGATGAAATGTTGAGAGTCCTTGTCGAGCACCTCAAGACTTGGATATTTTACTGGCTGATTTCTTTGTACTTATAAATTAGAATCAGATACTTGACATGAAATAGGCAAATGTCCATCTGATTAGCAGAATTATGAGGTATATTTCAAATGTGTTGATGGCTTCTAGATATGCTCACTCACAAATCTGAAAAGTAAATTTAGTATCTGCATTTCAACAGTCATTCAAATGAGAACTGTCAGAGAAATAATTAGATCTAACAAGATACAGGAAGCTCATAAGCAAACTTAGGTAATGTAATTTTCTACTTTTTATAACCACAGCCACGAAGAATATATTAACACTTGGTTTTTAAGAACAAGTATTAGGGAGGAAAAAAAATAACTTGAAGCTACAAGAAGCCACAGGAATTTAGAAAGCCCTGGGTTTGAAATGTAGGAAATCGTTTATACAGTGTGTCAGTTCTGTGCCTCTAACATAGCCATTTAACATTTATTGAATTCAATACTGCTTCTTTGCATGAATGACATAACTCCTCTTATGAGAAAAATCCCTACCCCCTTTGTTTAACCACTTTTTCTTTGGTGTCTAGGCACAATACATCTTTTTACACCAGTGCATTTTGGATCTCTTATCAAATAAAGGAAGCAATCAGCCCATCTGCTTTGTTAACTACTCAGCGCTTCAAAAGATGGACTCTTTGGATGCCATGGAAGGTACAGAGAAACAACGTGTCCCCAGTTCACTGGTGCAGAAGGAACATCAATTTCGTAAAACCATATGTTTAAAATGTCTTAGAAGCCGGGCTAGTGTGCAGTTTAAATTTTTCATTTCTCTTTAATCCGAGTCAAGGTTACAGCCTTTCCATCTGCACTGTACTTTTGCCCTGAAACATTTAAGCCTTTTGAACTGTTATTATTAACACCCTTGTAACGTGTCACTTTATGTTATAGGTGATGTTGAGCTCGAATGGGAAGAAACCACCATGTAAACATTTCAGACTGAAGACTACAACTGGAAGATATTTTCAAACCCCAGGGGCCAAAATTACCCCCTCATTCTTCTTAATTGAAATGTGCGGCCTTAGAGAGAACTCTGCACTCCCCTTCCTGTGCCTTACCAACTGGATCAGCCATTCCATGAAGACTTCTAGAAAACAGCTAATTCGGAATGGTTATTTGTTTTGTACAGAACAAATGTTATAATTTAAAATGTTTAAGAGAAGACATCCCATAAGTTTTTGGAGACCTCCACATTGTTGGAATAAGCCAAATATAAAATTACTATATTAGCATTAACGTTTCGGTGTGACTTTTCCCTTCGTATTGGATTTAATTTTGAACAAAAGTTGAAATGCTGTTGATTCGGTGGTGTTATTCCGGCCTCCAGGGTGTTGACGTTTCTCGTGGATAACTTCCAAGACTGTCATCATGATCTGCGCTTCCCTGTACGCCCCTGTGCTTTGAATCCTCTGTTTTATGAGCGCTGAGATATCATCTCATGATCCCGAACAGCTGAACAGTAACCCCCTGACACTGCAGGGCTTACTCAGCCTTTATACAACACACAGTAGCTCTTGGGGGACACTCGGGGCTATTTAAATTGCATTGTGATCAGGCTGAAAAAATAAAAAAAGAAAACGTACATGTGCAATTGCACAGAGGAGGTGATCGAGTACTTTTACAGCCAGCCTACAGTTTCACACTTCCAGGCACAAGTTGTACCACTGTATTGTATGTTCAAATATGTAGTTCCTTGTATGGTAGTATATATATGCTCTTCAGATATGTATTCAACTCGATGTTAACGATTGTGAAGAATTTCTTCAGCAGAAGTGTACAAAAACAATGATACTAACGTGTAGTGTGTGGCAAGCTTGTAACTCATCATGTGCTTCTGTGGTGCCAACAGAGACTTGGGAAGAGATTATATTAAAAGGTCTTTATTTCATTTACTGAGGTTTATTACTCAGAAGTGTATTCGGTAGAACTGAAAACAAAGAAATTATCCAGGTTGTAGCAAATTAGAGTTGTTTTTTTTTTTTTTTAAAGAATATCTTTCAGGCTCCATCTTATTAAATAGTGGCAATGATGTACTAAGTGAGTTTTGAATTATATGAAATTATTTTGTCAGGTTTCAATTAATGGTCATAAAAATAAATAGTACTCATCATTCTATGTCTTCCATGATATGCTTCTTTCTGCTAGAACATACATATGAAAATGTGATGGCCAATCAAATTGAATTTTAATGAATTATTTTGTAGCATGATTTCAGAAGTCCCTATATAAAGAAAAGTTTGATTTGGTATTGATATTAACATAACTGATGATTATATAATATATATCTTGAGATAAAAAAGTGTCACATATAAATATATTGATGTAGCATAATTTATATAATATAAATTATATTAAGATATTATCATTCCAAAGGCAGCCAGAGAAAGTAATTTTATTTATTTATTTATTTATTTATTTATCTTTATTAAATCATAGCAGTGTATGTTAATACTATCATGGGGTACAGTGTACTGTTTCTGTATACAATTTGAAATACTTTCATCCAACTGGTTA